AAATATTGAAACTCCTCTACTAAAAGGATTTACCAGCCGGGCACAGTGACTCACGCCTGTAATCCCAGCACTTTGGGAGGCTGAGGCAGGCGGATCACCTGAGGTCAGGAGTCTGAGCCCAGCCTCAACATGGAGAAACCCCCTCTCTACTAAAAATGCAAAATTAGCTGGGCGTGGTGGTGCATGCCTGTAATGCCAGCTACTTGGGAGCCTGAGGCAGGAGAATTGCTTGAACCTGGGAGGCAGAGGTTGTGGTGAACCGAGATCACGCCATTGCACTCCATCCTGGGCAAAAAGAGCGAAACTCCATCTCAAAAAAAAAAGAAAAAAGCATTTACCCCCTGAATAGATCATCTTTGGTCGATAAGAATATACAGGAGATTTTTCTGTCTTCGTTGTGCTTTTCTCTGCTCCTTAAAAATTCTACTTTTTTCATAAAAGGAGTTAATTTTTAAAAGTGAAAAGTAAAAACATAAAACAGAGTATTGGCTGAACACAGTGGCTCACACCTGTAATCCCAGCACCTAGGAGGCTGAGGTGGGAGGACCAATTGAGCCCAAGAATTCAAGACCAGCGTGGGCAACAAAGTGAAACCCTGTCTCTACAAAAGATACAAAAATTAGCTAGGCGTGGTGGTGTGTGCCTGTAGTCCTAGCTACTTGGGATGCTGAGGTGGGGGATCGACTGAGCCCGGGAAGTTGAGGCTGCAATGAGCCAAGATTGTGGCATTGCACTCGAACCTGGGCAACACAACAAAAACCTGTCACACACAAAAAAGACAACTGAACTGTAAAAAGCACTCCTCCACCTTAACCCTCTCTCTATATATTTATGTTTAAATATCTCCAAGGAAGCAGTAACAAAAATATGGAGAAGAAATAATAAATGACAGAGTAAGAATTTGAGAACAAACATTTGATTTGTTTCCATAAATTGTGACAAACCTCAACTGACTACAAATTGAGACAAAAGAATCAATTGAGACAAAGCTTCAATTGATTAACCTTAAAATAACCTTCTTAAAAGATGTGTGTATATATATATTTTAAATCATCCATAAACATATTAGAAAAAGTACAAATCAACAGATATGTAAGTTGTAGACGTGACTTTTTAAAACACAAGTGTGATTTAAATAGAATGAAATACAACAATCCGAAGTGAATAGTTGATAGGATTTTTTCATCAACTTAATTGAAGTATAATTTACATATAATAAAATGCAACCATATGTCTACGTTCATGCAAATACCACCTTGTAAGAAATGCCTTTCCTGACTACCTTATCTAAATTAGCCCTACCCAGAGTTCAGAGACCAGCCTGACCAAAATGGAGAAACCCCTTCTCTACTAAATAATACAAAATTAGCCTGGCATGGTGGAGCATGTCTGTAATCCCAGTTACTCAGGAGGCTGAGGCAAGAGAATCGCTTGAACCTGGGAGGCGGAGGTTGCAGTGAGCCAAGATCATGCTGTTGCACTCCAGCCTGGGCAACAAGAGCCAAATTCCATCTCAAAAAAAAAAAGGGCCAGGTGCAGTGGCTCATGATTGTAATTCCAGCACTTTGGGAGGCCAAGGTGGGCCATTCTTTACATTCATAAAGTGGGAAGATTGCTTGAGGACAGGAATTCAAGACCAGCCTGGGTAACAAAGCAAGACTCCAACTCTACTGAAATAAAAAATAAAAACTTAGCTGGTTGTCATGGTGCTGCTGGGAGTATAGCAGTGAGGATGACCAGAGATCACTCTTGTCACCATCTTGGATTTGGCCGATTTCTTTACTGCAAGATGTTTTATCAGCAAGGTCCTTATGACCTGTATCTTATGCTGACCTCTTATCTCATTTTATGACTTAGAATGCCTTAACTGTCTAGGAATGCAGCCCAGTAGGTTTCAGTGTTATTTCACACAGCTCCTATTCAAGAAGTCGTTCTGGTTTACATGCCTCTGACATAACCATGCAGTGAACAAGTCTATTGGCTCCATTTATTCAATAGCATGTGTTCATATTTGGATGATCCCAGCAATATTTCAACTTTCTCATTGTCATTTTATCTGTTATGGTGGCCTATGATTATCTTTGGCACCACTACTTGTTTTAGGGCATCACAAACTGTCCATATAAGACAGCAAACATAACTGATAAACGTGGTGTGTGTTCTGACTACAAACTTAATTGATAAACACTGTGTGTGTTCTGACTGCTCCACTGACTAGCTCACCGCAACATCCGCCTCCCGAGTTCAAGCGATTCTCCAGCCTTGCCTCCTGAATAGCTGGGATTACGGATATACCCCACCACGTCTGGCCAATTTTGTATTTTAGTAGAGATGGGGTTTCAACATGTTGGCCAGGCTGGTCTTGAACTCTTAACCTCAGGTGATCCACCCACCTCAGCCTCTGAAAGTCCTGGCATTACAGGTGTGAGCCACCTCGCCCGGCTTGGAATTTCTAATATAAATTGCCCAGTGGATCCAAAGGAGAAGGTGCACACAGACTTTAGTTTTGCTTGCTTTCTTTCCAGCAAGGGCTCTCTCTTAGCCACCTTTGCAGATATGGGCTAAAGTAGACAGGGAAGTAGACAGGGAAGTGAGGCTTAAAAAGAAGCCAGTAGTCAAACACGAAAAATGTAGTCACACTTATTTATTATAAAAAAAACTATTACTAGCCAGGCACAGTGGCTCACGCCTGTAATCCCAGCACTTTAGGAGGCTGAGGCGGGGGGATCACAAGGTCAGGAGCTTGAGACCACCCTGACCAACACAATAAAACCCCGTCTCTACTAAAAATACAAAAATTAGCCCAGCATGCTGGCGCATGCCTGTAATCTCAGCTACTCAGGAGGCTGAGGCAGGAGAATAACTTGGACCTGGGAGGCAGAGGTTGCAGTGAGCCAAGATAGCGCCACTGCACTCCAGCCTGGGCAACAGAGCAAGACTCTGTCTCAAAACAAAACAAAAGACAAAAACAACTATTACCATCAACATTTTACCAATTAGTAATTTTGGCACAGAGAATTTACATAATTAGCCTAATGTCACATAGGTGGTAAATGGTTGTCTTTTGTCATTGACCACATTCTCTAATATGAATTTGTATAACTTCAACAAGCTTTGAATCATGATAGAAAACTCATCTACACTCATTATCAATTTCTTTTAGTATTAAATGTCCTAATTTTGTTGGGTGGATCACGAGGTCAGGAGATCGAGACCATCCTGGCTAACACAGTGAAACTCTGTCTCTACTAAAAATAGAAAAACAAAAAAATTAGCTGGGCATGGTGGCAGATGCCTGTAGTCCCAGCTACTTGGGAGGCTGAGGCAGGAGAATGGCATGAACCCAGGAGGCGGAGCTTGTAGTGAGCCAATATAGTGCCACTGCACTCCAGCCTGGGCGACAGCGAGACTCCGTCTCAAAAAAAAAAAAAAAAAAGGTCCTAATTCTGGAAAAAGTGAATATGAAGTAAAAGGAATTCCCACATCCATTGTATTTGACCCACATATGGAATCTGCTGATGATCCATGACAAATGGCATGAGAACGGTTTCCTACGTTAATTATGTTAGGTCATGAATTCTCCGATGTCGAGTAAGCTGTGTAAGTTGTCTAAAGGCCTTCCCACATGTCTTACATTCATAGGGTTTCTCGCCAGTGTGAATACTCTGATGTCGGCTGAGTCCTGAGGCATAGAAAAAGGCTTTCCCACATTCTGGACATTGATAAGTTCTCTCACCAGTATGGATTCGTTTATGTTGACTAAGTTGTGAAGGACATCTAAAGGCCTTCCCACATTCCTTACAATCATAAGGTTTCTCACCAGTGTGAGTTCGCTGATGTCGAATTAGTTCTGAGCCGCAAGTAAAAGACTTCCCACATTCTTTACATTCATAAGGTCTGTCACCGGTATGAATTCTCTGATGTAGAGTAAGGTGTGTACGCTGTCTGAAGGACTTCCCACATGTCTTACATTCATAGGGTTTCTCGCCAGTGTGAATACTGTGATGTTTTGTGAGTCCTGAGAAACGGACAAAGGCTTTCCCACATTCATGACATTGATAAGGTTTCTCACCAGTATGGATTCGTTGATGTTGAGTAAGTTTTGAACGACGTCTAAAGGCCTTCCCACATTCCTTACAATCGTAGGGTTTCTCACCAGTGTGAATTCGCTGATGCTGAATTATTGCTGAGCGAAAAGTAAAAGATTTTCCACATTCCTTACAATGATAGGGTTTCTCACCAGTGTGAATTCGCTGATGTTCAATTAGTGTTGAGTGACAAGTAAAAGATTTCCCACATTCTTTACAACTGTAGCGTTTCTCACCAGTGTGAATTGGCCGATGTTGAATTAGTGCTGAGCGGAGAGTAAAAGATTTCCCACATTCCTTACAATGATAGGGTTTCTCACCAGTGTGAATTCGCTGATGTTGAATTAGTGTTGAATGAGAAGCAAAAGATTTCCCACATTCCTTACAATCATAGAGCTTCTCACAAGTGTGTATTTGCTGATGTTGAATTAGTGTTGAGTGAGAAGTAAAAGATTTTCCACATTCCTTACAATCATAGGGTTTCTCACCAGTGTGAATTTGCTGATGTTGAATTAGTGTTGAGTGAGAAGTAAAAGATTTCCCACTTTCCTTACAATCACAGGGTTTCTCACCAGTGTGATTTTGCTGATGTTGAATTAGTCCTGAGCAGAAAGTAAAAGATTTCCCACATTCTTTACATTCATAAGGTTTCTCACCAGTATGAATTCTCTGATGTTGATTAAGGTATGTACGCTGTCTAAAGGCCTTTCCACATTCCGGACATTCATAGGGTTTCTCACCAGTGTGAATTCTGTGATGTTGGGTGAGTCCTGAGACACTGATAAAGGCTTTCCCACATTCCTGACATTGATACGGTTTCTCACCAGTATGGATTTGTTGATGTTGAGTAAGTCGTAAACGAAGTCTAAAGGCCTTCCCACATTCCTTACAATCATAGGGTTTCTCACCAGTGTGAATTTGCTGATGTTGAATTAATGTTGAGCCAACAGTAAAAGATTTTCCACATTCCTTACAGTGATAGGGTTTCTCACCAGTGTGAATTCGCTGATGTTGAATTAGTGCTGAGCGAGAAGTAAAAGATTTTCCACATTCTTTACAATCATAGGGTTTCTCACCAGTGTGAACTGCCTGATGTCCAATTAGCCCTGAGCGAAAAGTAAAAGATTTTCCACATTCCTTACAATGATAGGGTTTCTCACCAGTGTGAATTCGCTGATGTTGAAGTAGTGCTGAGCCAGAAGCAAAAGATTTTCCACATTCTTTACAATCATAGGGTTTCTCACCAGTGTGAATTCGCTGGTGTCGATTGCGTGTTGAGCGAAAAGTAAAAGATTTTCCACATTCCTTACAACAATAGGGTTTCTCACCAGTGTGAATTCGCTGATGTTGAAGTAGTGCTGACCACATTCTTTACAATCATAGGGTTTCTCACCAGTGTGAATTCGCTGATGTTGAATTAGTGTTGAGCCAGCAGTAAAAGATTTCCCACATTCTTTACAATCATAAGGTTTCTCACCAGTGTGAATTACCTGGTGTCCAATTAACCCTGAGTGAAAAGTAAAAGATTTTCCGCATTCCTTACAATCATAGGGTTTCTCACCAGTGTGAATTCGCTGATGTCGAATTAGTGCTGAGTGAAAAGTAAAAGATTTTCCACATTCCTTACAGTCATAGGGTTTCTCACCAGTGTGAATTCGCTGATGTCGAATTAGTGCTGAGCCTGAAGCAAAAGATTTTCCACATTCCTTACAATCATATGGTTTCTCACCAGTGTGAATTCGCTGGTGTCGAATTAGTGTTGAGCCAACAGTAAAAGATTTTCCACATTGCTTACAATGATAGGGTTTCTCACCAGTGTGAATCTGCTGATGTTGATTTAGTGTTGAGCCAGAAGTAAAAGATTTCCCACATTCTTTACATTCATAAGGTTTGTCACTAGTATGAATTCTCCGATGTTGAATAAGGTGCATAGATGGTCTAAAGGCCTTCACAGATTCCTGACACTCATGAGGTCTCTCATCTATATATATTTTCTGGTGTTGAATAAGATGTGAGCCAGAAATAAAAGCTTTTCCATATTCTTTACATGCATAGGGCTTTTCCCCAGTATGAATTCTCTGATGTTTAACAAAATAGGAAAAATGACAAAAGGCCTTCCCACACTCCTTACATTTATAGAGTTTTTCACCAGTATGGGTTTCTTGCTGTTGTGTAAGTTCTGAGCCATTCTTAAAAGCCATACATTCTATGGATTTATACAGTTTCTCTCCAGGATTAATCTGATGATGCAGAGTGAGAGATGTCTGTAGGCAGAAAGTTGGCGTTTTCTCGTAAGTCATTATTGCTTTTTCCAAATATCGTTCCTGATTTATATCTTGGTGCTGAAACTGGCCTTTGCATTCCCAGTCATCTCTGACACTGGAGCCCACAAGGCTGTGACATTTTTCCATTCTCACCCACTGAGATGATGTTACTTCATAGATTTCTTTTGGCAAACATGAATCTTTGGTCTTACATCTAAACTCCGAGTCTGAAAAATAAACAGAAAGCAAAAACATAGCATTTCCTTGTTGAGTAGAAATAAAAACATCTATGGTAGAAGAGGGAGACAAACTGAAAATAATGTCCTAAAGAAGTAAAAATGTGTTGGGCGTGGTAGCTCATTCCTGTAATCCCAGCACTTTGGGAGTCTGAGAGAGGAGGATTGCTTTAGCTCAGGAGTTCAAGGTTGCAGTGAGCTATGATTGTGCCACTATACTCCAGCCTGGGCGACAGAGCAAGACCTTGTCTTTAAAAAAAAAAAAAAAAAAAAAAGATAGTGTACATACATGGTGATAGTATGTACCCTTATATGATGTGATGAGAACAACATTTTATCTCTGTGATCTTCCTTCTAAAAATACTGAACTCCAGTCTAATCACTGGAAAAACACCAGACAAATCCCAAAATGAGAGATAATCTACGAAATACCTCGCCAGTACTCTCCAAAACTACTGAGATAATCACAAACAAGGAAAGCCTGAAAACCTGTCAAAGAGCCAAGGGAAACATAATGACTCAATGCAATGTGTTCTCCTAGCCAAGATCCTAGAATAGGAAAAAAGGACATTAGGTAAAAGCTAAGGAGGCCGGGGGTGGTGGCTCATGCCTGTAATCCCAGCACTTTGGGAGGCTGAGGCGGGCGGATCACAAGGTCAGGAGATCGAGACCAGCCTGGCTAACATGGTGAAACCCTGTCTCTACTAAAAATACAAAAATTAGCCAGGCGTGGTGGCCCATGCCTGTAATGTCAGCTACTCGGGAGGCTGAGACAGGAGAATCGTTTGAGCCCGGGAGGCTGAGGCTGTACTGAGCCAAGACTGCACCATTGCACTCCACCCTGGGCAACAAAAGCCAGAATCTGTCTCAAAAAAAAAAAAAAAGATAAAGAAATCTGAGTAAAGTAGGGGTTTCCATTAATAATAATAGATCTCAGCACCATAGGAAAGGTAAATAATAACCACATTCCTTCAATGATGTTATTATTGAATAGGATCAACATTAATTAATTATGACAAATGTACAAACATACAATGTTAATGAGAAACTACATGTGATGTATATGGGAAATCTCTGTACTTACCTGACAACGTTTCTGTAAGTCTAAAACTATCCTAAAACCTAAAGTTTACTTTTTTAAAGTGAGAAAGTAATATCTCATTAGCAAAAAGGCCAAGCAAGTTTTTGTAAAAGACACAAATGGGGTATCTAAAAATTAAAAAATAAATCATTGAAACTTAAAATTCAATGAATGAATTTGAATTGGCAGTATAAGAGTGCAATCATGATTTTTAAAAAATACTTTCCATGTTCATCCATTGAAGCCTTAGAAACAACCAATCCAGCAGCAATGAACACGCTAATGACAGATTACTGTCTCTAAATACCATTTCTTACTACACAGAACCTAGGCTCCTTGGAGCATCTTGGGATTAGGACAGAAAGGTGCATTATGAGCATGGAAAAAGCTGGCATATTAGAAAAGCAAAGAAGCTTATTCAAGACCCCTAGGGTCATGTCAAAAAGACTCAGGAACCATTGTGAAGAGGGTCCCATTGGCCAAAGATGGGACAAGTTGAGCATGAATTCGAGAATAATAACTGTAATCATTATAATGTAATTACAATAAATCACATGAAATATTTTTTAAATCTGTGTGTTCATAAGGACAATTTTAAAATTACCTAGTAATTTTTAGGGGATGAGATGAGGAATGGCTACTAACATCACAAAAACAGAAACAACCAGATATGTGCTTCTTGATGAAATACACAATACTAATATCACATAGTCTGTTTATAGGAAAGAAAGGAATAAAGGGAGGGGAGCTAAATGTTAAATGACAGATGATCCAGTTTCTTCAACCTATAAATTTCAAGGAGAAAAAGAGAGAGAAAGAAATCAACATCAAAACCTCACTGGAATGGTTAAATAATCAGAAATGCAAAAGCAAGGTTAAGAGTCATAAAGAAAAGTCAAATAATTCATTTGTCTTCCTGAAAGTAATACTGAAAGAACAGGGAGCAAGCTGTATTCAAGATGTAACAGCTAAAATTTATTCAGAAGTGATGAGGTTTTCTAAAAAAAATCTGAGTCAGGTGCAATGAGTGCCATGGATGGTAAATTTTAAAAGTTCTATGGGGCAGGGTGCGGTGGCACATGCCTGTAATCTCAGCACTTTGGGAGTCTGAGGCAGGTGGATCACCTGAGGTCATCAGGGAGTTTAAGACCAGCCTGGTCAACATGGCAAAACTCCGACTTTACTAAAAATACAAAATAAGCCAGGCATGGTAGTGCACGCCTGAATTCCCAGCTACTTAGGAGGCTGAGGCAGAAGAATTGCTTAAACCCAGGAGACAGAGGTTGCAGTGAGCCAAAATTGTGCCACTGCATTCCAGTCTGGGCAACAGAGCGAGACTTCATCTCAGGGAAAAAAAAAAAAAAAAAAGTAGAAGTTCTACAAGCCAGGCATGGTGGTTCATGGCTGTAATCCCAACACTTTGGGATGCCAAGGCTGGAAGAGTACCAGAGCCCAGGAGTTCAAGACCAGCCTGGGAAACAGCTTGGGACACTGTCTCAAAAAAAAAGAGCCGGGTGTGATGGCATGTGCCTGTAGCCTCAGGTACTCGGGAGGCTAAGGCAGGAGGATCACCCATGCCCAGAAAGTCAGTGCTGCAATGAGCTGTGGTCAAGCCACTGCACTCCAGCCTGGGTGACAAACGAACCTGACTCTTAAAAACTACGCATGATGAAATCCCAATAAGAACAAAATGAACAGAAAAAAAAAAAATAGCTTACACATCATGCTTGCTATGTGCCAGGCACTAATTTTACTGCTTTACACATTTACTATATAAGCTCATTTAGAATGCTGTGAATAGCGTATATATTTGCCAATGAGGACCAGAGAGGTTAAGTAAATTGCCAAAAGTCATAGAGGTATTAAATGGCAGAGCTAGGATTTGAATGGAGGAAGTCTGGCTCCAGAGTCTGTGCTTTCAACTTCCAAATCAGTGGAATCAAACTAAGTACGGGCATCAGATTTTTTTAAAACCTCAAATCTAAAACAATGTAAAATAAAACAGGCCACAGAAGACAGGAAAAGTGAGACAAATAGAACAAAATAAGCTGGTTAAAAAAACTCAAACAGGCCAAGAGAGGTGGATCATGCCTTTATTTTCAGCTACTCAGGAGGCTGAGGTATGCAGATTGCTTGAGCCCAGGGGGTTGAGGCTGTGGTGAGCTGTGATTGCACCACTGCACTCAGCCTGGGCAACAGAGAGAGAGAACCTGTCTCAAAAAAAAAAAAAAAAAAAAAAAAATCCAAATCAGTAATTATAAGGAATGTAAACAAAGAAAAAGTAAATTTCAACCCTTTTAAAATAAAAAGTATCTAAAAAACATGAAGACACAACAAAGTTGAAGTAAAAACTAAGAAAATGAAAATCAGGCAAGTATTCACGAATAGAAAGCTAGGGTCTTAGCACTGGAAAAAAACAGACTTCAAGGTGAAAATATTATTGGGAATAAATAGGATTACTACATAATAAAATGTTCATTCACCAAAAAGATTTAACAATTCTAAATTTGTAAGCATCCAGTAAAATAAACTCTAAATATGTAAAGTAAAAATTGAGAAAATACAAAAAGATTAGGCTTCATCTTGATTGTGGGAGTTTTTTTTTTTTTTTTTTTTGAGTCTCACTCTGTCACCCCGGCTGGAGTGCGGTGGCACGATCTTGGCTCACTGCAACCTCTGCCCTCCGAGTTCAAGTGATTCTCCTGCCTCAGCCTTCCAAGTAGCTGGGATTACAGGCGCCTACCACCGCGCCTGGCTAATTTTTTGTATTTTTACTAGAGACAGGGTTTCACCATCTTGGCCAGGCTGGTCTTGAACTCCTGACCCCATGATCCCTTTTGGAGGCCTCAGCCCCCCAAAGTGCTGGGATTACAGGCGTGAGCCACTGCACCTGGCTGATTGTGGGAGATTTCAATACACCTCTTTTAATAACTGAGAGGTCAAGCACCCAGAAAATATGAAAGGATACAGAGTATCTTTACATCAAATTAACAAGCATGATATGTTGAACATGTGAGAATTCTGCACGCAAAAATTAAAAGAAAGCACAAGAACACGTGAATCCCCATCCCCGCAAAAACACTGACAATGCACCAGTGCATTAACTGGTGCATTTCCAGAAACTGGTCTCATATTGACCATGTAAGTACTGACTACAGTGCAATTAAGGTTGAATTCAGGAATTAAAAAATGGGAAAAAAATTTAAATGCAAAAAATTTACAAAAGCTCATGGGTTAAAAATGGTATTATGAAAATTAAAAAATTATTTTTTGTTTTTTTTGAGACAGAGTCTCACTCTGTCACCCATGCCGGAATGCAGTGGTGCGATCTCGGCTCACTGCAACCTCCACCTCCCAGGTTCAATCAGTTCTGTGCCTCAGCCATTCAAGCAGCTGGGATTACCGACACACCATGCCCAGCTAATTTTTGTATTTTTAGTACAGAAAGGGTTTCACCATGTTGGCCAGGCTGGTCTCAAACTACTGACCTCAAGTGATCCACCCACCTCGGCCTCCCGAAGTGTTAGGATTACAGGCATGAGCCAGTGCGCCTGGCCTACAAATTCCTTTGATACTAAGTGATGACAATAAAAATTGTCCTATGGGCCAGGTTGTGCAAAAAGCAAACGCAAAATCTCTGTGGACAAAATCAACCTCAACTCAACCCTCAAAATATTCTCACAAAGTTTCAAGGAGGCCGGGCGTGGTGGCTCAAGCCTGTAATCCCAGTACTTTGGGAGGCCGAGACGGCCGGATCACAAGGTCAGGAGATCGAGACCATCCTGGCTGACACGGTAAAACCCCGTCTCTACTAAAAAATACAAAAAACTAGCCGGGCGAGGTGGCAGGCGCCTGTAGTCCCAGCTACTGGGGAGGCTGAGGTAGGAGAATGGCGTAAAACCTGGGAGGC